GAAAGTGTATTTATTTTGTGTGTACTTTGATAGGTAACAGTCCATACAGGGCTATTAGCTGTATGTGCACCCTTTCTCCACTCACCTGCTGCTCCTGTGTTGTTCCATCCACCTCCATTGTGAAGTGGACCTGATGGAGGACCTCCTGTGAACCAGCCTCTACCACACTGACGACAGCAGTCTGAGCCTCCACTACCTCCTGCTCCTCTGGCTGCTGCTCCACAACCACCACCTCTTGCTGGGCAGCCACTGCAGGGTGATCAGCTTCCACACCTGCACAATGCACACAGACCTGTCCGTGTCTCAATGGACTGTCACTTCATTAGGTATTCTGACTCTATGTTTAAGCTCAGTACTACATAAAGGACTTATCACTGTAAAAATTAACCCTATGTAGTGTCTGATAAGTGAGTATTCTGTCAAAAGCTACAGCTCATTTACTTTGATAGAATAAATTGTGCAAGACGATGACGCTGCTCTCTTCAGATCACAGCTCCTATGGCATAAATCTGACCTTTTTGCACTCCATCTTTGCTGACTAGGATCTCCTTATACTGAACAAAGCGGATCTTTTCTGTGCAGGGTGTAAGGGCCTTAAGGTGTCTGGTGAGAGCACCTGACTCTCTGAAGGACTGGCCACAGAGGGTACAGCGATACGGCCGCTCATCTGCAAAAGAACAGGAAGAAAGCAGCATTATCATTATGTCAAATTTATTAGAGGATATCAATTCAAGACACAATCATTTCCTAAGTTTCCTGTCTTTACCAGTGTGACGACGGTTGTGTCGAATCAGAGAGCCTTTAGTACGAAAAGAGGTACCACACAGGTCACACGAGAAGTTCTTCTGGTCGCTGTGAGTTTTCATGTGAGTTCTCAAGATGTTGGTCTGTTGAGGGAGAATGGAGTGTGTTCAAGAACCAACACTGGCAACATATAGTGTAACACCTGGTCTGGCATCACATGGGTACATGGCATCTCATGTACCCATGTAAGAAAATATAACATTGTCAAAATAAAGGCACCAAAATTAAATGTGTGACTCACTGTTTTAAATGTCTTCTCACAGATTTGGCAAATATAGCGTCCCTCTTGGTTGACTTTGTAAATAGGCCTGTCACTGTCGGCATTGTCAGATATGGATCCCTCAGTCCCATCTGACTGGTCAGTGACTTTAAGTGAAGCGATTTTCCTCCTGCGACCTCGACCCAACTGACCACCGCTTTCTTCTGTGGGGAAAACAGGCAAAATAACAATTCAATCCCCCAGATCTAAGATCTAACTCACAGGTTGAAACAATGTTGACTAGAGCTGAAGTGAATAGTCTTTAGATTTATTTAGTTCAACAAAAATTGTCTTCACTATTTTTATAAAATACTGAACATTTGCTGATCTCAGCTTCTCAAATGTGTCTTTTTGAGTCCTGAAATAAATTCTCTTTTCAGAAAGGTTTCAATGTTCAGTTTTTTTTGTTGTTGTTGTTTTGTTGAAACTGTGTTAAAAGGTGTTAAATCAACAGTATGATCATTCTGGAGGCTGCAGTTTGTTGTGTGATTGAACTGTATACAGACAGGCATTTTTGTTATTTAGTCTATCCTCAGTGATATAAATGGGGTGGACAAAATAATAGGAACAACTGTCAATATAATAACCATGCTGCTCAACAGCACCACAGACCACATTCACCAAAATGACCATACAAATGAATCAGCACCTCTTTAACACCGTTTCAACACAAGTTGAAAATTGAAAACTTCATGAAAGGAGGATTTAATGCAGGACTCTTGTATTAGACTGCATTAGTTTTAGGTAGGTGCACCTAATAAACTGCCAACTGAGTGTACATAATAAATTCTTAGTCCTTATATTGACCCACCATTAGTGGTCTTCCCTTGTTCATCTGAAGATGCACCTTCAGCTGATTTCACCTCTGAAGAAGAACTGCCATTGGCTGCAGTAACCTAGCAAAATGCAGAAATCAACATTTGTACTACCTCTGCTGTTTACAGTGGTTACTGGATCATATAAACCAATACAACACTGCTCATACCTCTTGGATGGCCGCCCGGCTGTTCGCCTCCCGTTTGCAGCTTTGGTGCAGCTTGTGCTGAATGAAAGCTTCCAGCGTTGAAAACTCGGACTGACAACGTCCACACTTGTGCACATCCTCATCTGACGGCACACAGACAAAACCTTTCTGCATGAGATAACTTCTTACACTATTTGTGCTGCAAGCTACCGGCTAGTAGACCTAAACATTTGTAAACAAAAACCGATGACTTGCTGGACTTCTGACGCTGCAGCGAGGAAGCAAACCAGCTAATGTAGCTAATGGAAGCTAGCTGCTAGCAACATTTCACGATGGAAGAAGTTAGCCAGGCCCAAACGCTGCAACTGGTTAGTATTTCGGATTTGTTTTAGAGAACTAACCTTCGTCTCCCAGTGTGGTCTGAATGGTGATTGTGTCGGTGCCGTTCTTCGTTTCCCCCGTCTCTGTTTCTGCCGTATGATTATTTTCTACATTCATGTCGTTCGAGGTCTCCGTCTCTGTCGCAACGCTGCTATACGGAGGGAAAACATGGCGGATTTACGACCCCGTAGTCATAACAACAAAAAGAGCGCCTGCGCGTGTCGAGGAAACAAGAGAATAATCAACAACCAAGTTATTATGGAACAACAATACCATTAAAATTGTCCAACATCTCTTGCTTCTTTCCTGAATTTAAAAACATGATTTTTCTCCTCATTTATACTGTAGCTGGAATAACAGAGACATTTTTTACAAGAACACATTACTTATTGTTATTATTATATATAGAATATTAGGTTATTCAGCAGCTTAATTCCCCATGGTTCACTCAGACAAATAAACACACTCCAGTAGGTATTTGCTGTAGTTTTTAACGGATTCCATTCTGGTGTAGGCTACCAATAATCCACGAGAATATAGTATATTTTCCCTTTCTTTTGAACATGTACTGCTTGACCTTATTAATTATTCTTTTGTTTAAAAACAGTGAGCTGTAGGTCTACTGTAAATTTTTCAAAAGATTTAATGTTGGCAAAAACACACATCCATAAATCTAAGTTCTCCAGTCATAGACCATCTTTCTAAGTATCTGAGACAGGCAAGCAGTATCCAAACCTTGCTTTACTCAATAAAATACATAAATAATTATGAAGAACAAGACGATAAAATATGCACAGATCTAATTTTGTCCATAAATCATATAGGAAATACAATAATCATTTCAGTTCATCCATTTAATGATTAAATCGTATAATTAACATCTGATTATTCAGAATGTATGTTTTGACAGTGATAATGCATGTCTTGCTCTGATAGCTAAAATATTCTTCAGATATTATATAAATGTGCAGCTGTACATACAATACAATACAATAATAGTAAAATATGAAAATAAATTTAGTCTTTTTTGTAATAATTGGAAACATATTCAAAAGCAAAAATAGTACAAAATGTTTGAGCCTTCATTCAAATTCTGCTGGCACACCTGGGTTTTCCACAGAGGAAGTGTGTTAGACTTGGGGCCCCACATTATCAAGGGCCGTGAAAGCCACAGGTTCATGTGAAGATGACTGTGCAACACCCTTTCTAATTCAAATCAGTCCAATTCAAATCTATATGCAGACACAACGTGGTTACTAACGTGGAGATACCTAAAGCTTTCACCGGTACTTCAGGTCTGACAAAACTTTGTTTTAGGGTCAACTACGGTCTTTACATTCTCACAGAGACCCATGATAATGGCCCATGAAACTACAGTGTCTGTAAAGATGTACTTATGTGAGGTTCCCTGTTGTGTTAATATGTCAATTAAAGGAAGGAACTGAACACAGCCTGTCCCTGGTCCTTATATGTTGCCCCATGAAAAATTGTTTTATTCTTTACAGCGTTTCATTGTTTCATTTGTAATAGATGACAACGAACACAGCAACACCTGGAGTTGAATCATCCCAAAAGTCTTTATCCAATTGATAAATTATAATATTTTGAACATACCAACTCCAAATTTACACAAAGTGAAGCTAGATGATCTGGACCTAGTAAACGAAAAATGTAACAATAAGTTTTTAAGGCAGTACTTAGTAAACACCTTATATCCAGGTATAACAAAAAGCTCACTACCTCTTAAAGATTATAACGAATCTGAAATACAACTATTCGAACAAAATACTTAAAATTCCCAATTCCCCCAAAGTGTAAAGAAGTTCATTTTAAAACTATAAACAACATTTATCCCTCAAATGAATTTATAAAAAGAAGATTTAAATTTGTTGTAGAAAACTGTTATATTTGTAAAACGAATCTGGAAATGACAGAGCACCTGTTTTACGAATGTGAGACTGTCCAAAATTTGTGGAAATCTCTCCACGACTTAATATTGTCCAGCTCCAGAAACATTGACCTCTGGTCCTTGCAAAATATTCAAATAGGAGTATTTCCTCAAAGATTAAAAAAACTGAGTTTTTAGTGAATAATCTCATTATTATTACAAAATATTACATAAACAGCAAGTCTGTGCTATGTAATATGACCCCCCCCCCCCCCATGACTTGCTCTTAAGAATGAACTCTCCTTGTTACAAAAATGTCTGAAACAAATAAATAATCCCCATGCAAATAAACTGTACACATTTATAGCAAAATTTAACCTATCCTAAACCCCTTGTATTTAATTAGTATGATTTTACTTTTAATTGTTTTATTATTTATTTTATTTTCTTATCATTCTCTCTGTCATCTTATATCTGTTGTATGTTTGTTTTTGAAATGGGATATAAACCACCGCAATAATATTTCAGTTTGGAATATCAAAGGAGGTGTGAATTTACTTTAAAATGTAAGATAATTTATGATTATGTTTGAGTATGTCATCGTTCATGTAATGTTCAATGTTTAAATAAAGTATTGAAAAAAAAAAACTGGAGTTGAATCAAGGCTAGCTATTCACGACATAACAGTAAACAACTAACACTTTACGGCAGTAAACATGGCTTCCAACTTCAGCGGTGTGCTGCAGTTGACAGATCTGGATGATTTTATCACCCCCTCTCAGGTAGTGAAACTTGTTATGACATGTTATAACAATATACTTATTTTGAATAGTTAACGCCGCTGATTCATTTCGTATCTATAAAGGCAGCCAATAGCGGACAAACGTGAAGAATAAGTTAGCAGGTATACTAGCTGTTAGCTGTTCATGTCAGTGCTCTTGTGTAAGAGAACAACCCCCCAAAATAACGGCAACGTTAAATCCCTCATCATTGATTGAAGCTTATTTTGATGTGATTTTAACCACCAGGTTTAATCGTTACTAATAAGTTGACTATACCAGGAGAACGTGAATAAAATAAAACGTACGCAGTTAGCTTGCTGCTGATGTAAGAAATGATGTAACCACTATGAAATAACTAGTCGTTGGTAATAACTTGGTTTAAGTCGATAATGATAAGTTAAGATTTATCTTAATTAACAATACGGTATTGTAACTTGAGTTACAGAGTTTAAACAGCGAAGTTGAATGTCCTTGGTAACGATTAATCAGGTATTTTTGCCAGTTAATATCGTTTAGATTTCTCACCTGCAATGTGCTGAGTCATGTCACTCTGCTGTTCATTTGCTTTTGTCACATCGCTTTTCGTACATGTCATGAAGAATTTAGTCATTTTCTGTCGTCTTTGAGCTTTGTGAAGAAAAAGGCTGCTGAATCTGGCTGGAATCCTTAGTTTATTGCTTTTATTTGGTATTTTGTTCTTTGCTTTATGTGGGTGTCTGTTTCCTTTGATTTGCAGGGATGTGTAAAACCTGTCAAAATAGAGAAGAAACAAGGAGCATCTGTGGCTAAAATTCAAATAGAAGATGATGGCAGCTACGTCCAAGTCAACCAGGTGGGAGTTGAGGCTTAAACAAAATCTGTGTGTGAATTATTAAAACTGAAATATTACACCACCATTTTCCTTGAATTCATTTGCCTTTTGTTTGTAGGATGGTGGGAAGAGGAAGCTGGAGAAAGCAAAGATCACACTGAACGACTGTTTGGCCTGCAGTGGCTGTATCACGTCAGCTGAGAGCGTCCTCATCACACAGCAGAGCCACGAGGAGTTCTTTAAAGTGCTGCGCAACAACAAGGTAGAGATGGGTACATGTGTATTAATCCTTGTCTATTATGTGTCTGGTCAAGATTGCTTTTGCAGCCTTTGTAACATGAGAGTGAACACTTTGTATGTCAGGACAATGCCACTGAGCAGAAGGTTGTGGTGGTGTCAGTGTCGCCGCAGTCCAGAGCCTCCCTCGCAGCACACTTTAACCTCAGCAGTAGTGAGGCAGGCAGGAGACTTACTACTTTCTTCAAAGGCCTTGGTGAGCACAAATATTACTTTTTACTATTTTAATTTACTTTTTGTACAAATCATACAACTCAAAGTAAAAGAAGATATGATAATAAGATGGGTTGATTTTGGCAGACACAGTCACCCCTGAAGATTCATTATTATTATTCCTATTTTTGTAGGTGTTCATCATGTGTTTGACACTAGCTTTAGTCGGACCTTCAGCCTGCTGGAGAGTCAGAGAGAGTTTGTGGAGCGGCTCCAGAGGAAGGAGCAGGACAGCAAGGCCCTGCCCATGCTGACATCTGCCTGTCCAGGTAGTATATAATGTTGAAGCATCTTGACCATGCTGGGGACCTGTGTTACATGTCATTGTCATTTCTCTCCCTCATTTCCTTTCAGAAAGAGAAAAACCACCTCGTATATTAAATGGTGGTTGTTTACACTACAGACAAACATATTTCAATTTTCCAATGTGAAATTCCATGGATTAATCTTACATATAAGTAGAACAAAACTTCATTAACCTATTTTTTTTATACAGCTGTGTATGCTTAATAAAAGATAAAAAGTAGCATCAGTCAGTAGCTTCAGTCTTTAGTCTAATAATACTTAAATTTATTGTGTTTTGAATATTTGTCCAAAGCTCATCAGCAAGACCAAGTTCCATTTTGGGTGTGTATGTGTTTTATTCAGGGTGGATCTGCTATGCGGAGAAGACCCACGGGGAGTTTATTCTTCCATACATTAGTACCACTCGCTCCCCCCAGCAGATGATGGGTTCACTGGTTAAAGGCTATTTTGCTGATCAACAGGTAAGGTTTGAATATGAATTAGGTATAATTTTTAGTATCAAACCAAATGCAGAGGGTTAACTCCTGGTGTATCCAGCGCTGGCGGTTGACTGCGTGTGTATTGTGTGTGTTGTTAGGGCCTGAGTCCACATCAGATCTACCATGTGGCAGTAATGCCATGCTTTGACAAGAAGCTTGAAGCCTCGAGGTCAGACTTCTACCTGGACAAGGCTGAGACCAGAGAAGTGGACTGTGTCATCACTTCTGGTACAGTAACTACTCTTATGATGCTGTTTGTGTGTATGAATGTGGACTATCTTGTTTTTTATACTTTCCACTGTCTCATACAGGAGAGGTTCAGAAAATGCTAGAGGAGGAACATTTGTCCCTTAATGATTTGGAGCCTGCAGCCCTCGATAAAATGTCAGTTCTTTTCCATTTTCCTTTTTCATACCCCATCGCCTCTTTTAAAATAAGCCGTAACATGAATTTCCAGAAGAATAGGTTAACTCACACTACATTTTATTTTCAACCCAGGTTCAGCAGTGTTTGTGGGAATGAGTTCCTGAGCCATGCTGGGAGCGGATCAGGGGGTTACCTCCATCATGTCTTCACCTATGCTGCCAAGCGGCTGTTTGGAGAGGAAGTGAAGGAACTCAAATACAAGACCCTCAGGTGAGTCTGTCTCAACAGCTTTAAGAAGCTTGAGAGAGAGTGGTTCAGGTTAATTCTGCTTCCTGGATCAGTTGAACTAGAATTAGATGAATCCAGTTCCTATGCTCATTATATACAATCAAACAGGTCTAATGATCTCACAATAGCTTTTCACACAAGTCATGCTCAATCATAAAGTCACCCAACCACCAACTTGTGTCTGAAAAGATTTGCTGAATGTCCCCGTCTTCCAAATTCGACCCCTCTGGCGCAGGAATAAAGACTTCCAGGAGGTGACTCTTGAGAAAGATGGAGTAGTCCTGTTGTCCTTTGCTTCCACATACGGCTTCCGCAACATCCAGAACCTGGTGCAGAAACTGAAGAGGGGAAAGATGCCTTACCACTTTGTGGAGGTCATGGCCTGTCCATCAGGTAAGGAGAAAAATGAATTTCCAAAAACCTACATTCATGTGTGCACTTTTTCTGCTATAGCATATTCTTACCACAGCAGAGAGTGACGCACTTTAATATGACCATGACATCCTTGTCAGATATCACTAAAAAGCACAACAAGCACAGTAGTGACTAATGTTTGCAAGAAAATTCAAACCTATTATATTTCTCCTAACTTCTTAATATTCAGGTTGTCTTAACGGTGGTGGACAGGTGAAGGCCTTACCAGGTCAGAACCCAAAAGAGCTTCTCAAGAAGGTTGAGGAGCTCTACATGGCAGAGCACTCCCAGTTGCCAGAAGATGACACTGATGTGGCAGAGCTGTATGAGACCTGGCTCCACAGTTTGGGGGAGGAGAAAGCCAAAGAGCTGCTGCACACACATTACCACACCGTGGAGAAGATGATCAATGGACTCACGATGAAGTGGTGATGAATGACTCAAGAACCGTCCAGATATGACAGTGTTAGTCTGTCCTGTGAGAGAAGGGAAGGGTTATGTGGGCAAACCCGAATTTAAGCAGGTTTGATGTATGCCAGCAAACTTAAACCACTTCTTCCTTTGTCCAAAAGCTGTGCGCCTGGCAAGGTGGAAGACCAGGGCAGAGATAATGACATAATGCCTAAGCAAAGCCAAATCATGTGTATGGTCTGACAATTCTGCCTTACACTACTGATTGTCCTATAAAATGTATCAATAGTAAATCATTTGTGTGCTACTGTTACACTTTGAAAATGTAAACCGAATTAACACAGAAAAATATAATCATTCCTCATTTATTTAACCTAGTGAGTATACGTATGTATACATTTTGAAAAATAAATTTTATTTAATTGTAGCCATTTGTTCTGTAATTCTTTTGAAACATGAAGAATATGTCCAACAGTATATAGTCTCAGACTGATGTGTTTTATTGAATAATCTTGACTCTGATGTAGTTACATGTTCTGGCAAAGTGAGGGCGTGACTCCGGCATGAAAAGCAGCAATTCACATTCTTAATAATGTACACTGCATCTTTCGCTGCCCTTGTGGTGCAGTTTATAACATATCAGGTACCTGTCCTAAATACTGTCTAAATGACAGAGAACTTCACTTTAATTGTATTTGATGGTAATTTCATTCTCTAGCTTTCAAATGCATAAGTAAGTAAAAGAGCGGCTGGGGAATATACACAGTATGTCCATACTGAAATTAGTCAAAATGTTAAATGAGGAAGCAGTGGCAAGGTTACCAGACAGGAAATAATTGTATCAGAGCAAAAGTACATATCAAGGAAATGAAACGTTCGAAAACAAGTCAAAGAAATTACGCTTATTTTTCTCTATTTAAAGCAATAAATACATAAAACCATAGTTTAATCTCATCAGTGTTTCAGTGGAAATTAGCATTAGCAGATGTTACAGTTAGTTTGTGCATAACAGGCTGGGAGACGCGCCTTCAAATTAATTTAGTTTGTAGAAATATTTAAGGGAAGCAGCTTTATACTGGCATTTTTGTGCAGACATGGTTTTATAATAACTAAAACAATACACATGCCCCATGAGGATCAACATACAGCAGTATGAATTTAGGGTAATAGCAACAAACACCACACTGTACAGTCTTGTGTCTTGCTGCATTCAGTAATTCAAACTACTCCAACTTGATAGTTGAGTATGTCAAACGTTCAAAGCTCTGAAACTGGATCTCAGGGTCTGAGAAGCCCCCACTCCAAAGCCAACATGGCGTGGGGAGGAAGTCTCTCCTTGGGCTTCTTAAATTTGTCCTTCTCCTTCCGCAAGACTCTCAGCACTTCTATAGGGTCGGTCTTCCCTGTGAACTTTTGCACTCCTTCCTCCCTACAGTAAAGGAAGAGGGTAAGAAAGATTAATGACTGAAATATAAGCATAATAAACTAGTAGGAAACTAGTAACCGCTGTGACTGAGAGATCCTGAAACATGAGCTCACCAGAAAATGTGCCAGTCTTGCCAGCCTATCAAGTAGACTTAATAATTACAGAAATATAGACTAACTCACCATTAAAAGAGCAAACAAGTATACACGAGTCCTCTACTGGCAACATATGTTATTTGAATGGAAAACGAAACAAGATAATCTGAATTAAACTACTACTACAAATTTAAGTCGCCCTTTATTCTTTAATCTGCCCTTTGGATCAGTTAAAAATTTTGACTGCTGATCAATATAGAGATAGAAGCTCTGAAAACATTTTACACTTTGAAGCAAGTTAGTTCATTTTTATTTCCCTGTCTTGCTAATTGACCCATCCCACATGGGATTACAAGACACCCCTAATTAGCAAACAAACAAAATATAATGTGCATCTTCCAGTAACACACTTACAAAAACCCCCTCCCCATCTGCTGTGGCTAATTGAAATGTTAAATTTGTCACTCTCCAGTTATTACCAAGATGGCAATGGAAGACAGTTTTCCATTTGGCACCTTTTACGTTTCATAAATAAATGTTCGTAAATATCCGGACTCACGAGAGGCGAAGAAAAGGGTTGTATTCAAACTCCTCCATTAGGGTAGATGGCACTGTGGGTTTGTCATCATCATCTCTGGCCTGCAGACACAAATCTCATGAAATGACTGAAAACAAATACACTATTTACTACTTTTTGATAATGTATTTTCACAACTACAGTGCCCAGCTTTTTTAGGAAATAATTTATCCTTGTTTTAAAAATGAAAGCTTAAACTGTGACCTTTTTTTTTTTTTTTTTAAGATTTACACCTTAAATAGGAACCAATGGGTGTGCAGCTGAGAGTTACAGACAGGCTGGGGAAAGTACTACGAGACAGACTTATCCACTGTTAAGGTTTCGGTCTTTTGTTGACAGTAACAAAAACAGGCAATATTACAGGCTTTATTCTTTGAGCAGTTTTCGTCACAGTGCTCACCCTGGCCCAGCTCAGCATCTCTTTAACCTTCTCGTTCTCCGGCTCCACCAGCATGGCAAACTTCAGGTTCTTAATGGTGTACTCGTGTCCACAGAACACCTTCTACAGATGAGCAAAGCATGATTTAAAGTCAGGCTTCCTGATCCCTCACACACCTACAAGTAGAGTTTGAGTCTGAGCCAGGCTGAACTCAGTCCCTTCACTGAACGTGTGTTTATTCAACAGTGTGACTCAGTCTTACATCAGCTCTTATCTGAGGTCATGTTAGCTGTGGTTAACCTTATAAGAGCTGCACACACCCCACGTCAAAAATCTTAAAATTTCCACTGACCGTGTCTTGAGGTAGGGAGCCCAGCACCTGGGTGAGATTGTGGTACATCTGCTCTGCCGTCCCCTCAAGAAACCGCCCACAACCACCGATGAAAAGCGTATCCCCTAACAACCAAAAAAAGACAAATAAAATGTCACGGGCAGCTGTGGTCAGTCCATGTCATACCACACAACAAGAACAATGCACAATGTGCTGGCCAACAAGGATTCATATATCTAGTCACTCAAAAACATATTTGCCTAAGAACACAGTGAGTGTACTGCACAGGTATAAGCTGTATGGAGAAATATATGTCTCAGATTTCAACTGGTTCACTAGCTCTTGATGGTTAAAGACAAAGACCTGTGAACACAGCAGGGGCGTCAGTGCACTCATCCTCCCAAACAAAGTAGCACATGTGACCAGAGGTATGGCAGGGAGTAAACAGGCACCTCACATTGATGGAGTTAAACTGCAAATTGAGAAAACACAACATCAAAAGGCAACATGGCAGAGAGACAAGAGAAACTTTTTGTATAACTGGCATGTTGATAGCATAACTGGACCACCTTCCAGGTAAAGACATTTTACTCCTGTTACTTTTCTGGGCACCTTAAGTTCCTGAGCACTGGTGACTTTATCAGTCAGACCTCCGATCCGATCGTCTCCCCCGTACACCCTCAACCCAGGAACCTCCTTCAGCAGAGCCTCATTCCCCCGAGCGTGGTCCCTGACCAATGAGAGCAGGTTAATTACTTTATTCACCTTGTTCTGTTTGGGTGTGATGTATTGTTGCCTCTTGTATCCCAAAACACTCTTCTTACCAGTGATGGTGTGTGGTGAGAACAGCCGTCAGAGACAAGCCCTCTCTCTTCACTATTTCCAGCAGCTGGCCGAAAAAACATGCTACTGTTAGTATTTATTCCCATAAGCAATGCATGTATCTCACTAGAGCTCAACAAAGAGTCAATCAATCAACCAACCATTATTTTTGGTTATTAATTAATTATTAAATCATTTTGAGGATTTGCTATTTTTCTGTGTCTTATATGATCCTAAACTGAACAGCTGTGAGTTTTGGACTGAAGGTCGGACAAAACAAATCTGATGACATCACACTGGCTTTAGGATATTGTAATGTGCATTTTTAGAGAACAAATAACTGATTAAGAACAACCGACAATGTGATTAATAAAGAAAATAACCACTAGTTGCAGCCCTATATCTCATGTATTTACTGTTAGTACATTATTACTGACTATTATTTATCCATTGTTGTTGCTTACCTTACAAAAGGTGCTTTGTACATTGTCATTTTACTTTTTAATTGTTGCTTCTTTTTTTTCATTCATCAGATCTAGTTTAATTTTCATTACTTCATGTACTTCATTTGTCAGATGGCTTCATAATGTACCATGTGGTGTTGTTTCAACTCTGCTTCACAGGCATTGAGCCTGAGCACGAACATCTGTCTCTCACCCGGTGTGGTACAGCTGGATCCACAGCTATGGCCTGTTTACTCTGTTCCTCTATCACCAGGTACATGTAGTTGTCTTCCAGGATGGAGATCACCTTTACCTTCATGGCACTCCTTACGCATGCGCACCACAGTGCGCGACACTGTGAGAAGAGGTTTAATTAGTCAACAATGATTGTATCGACAGTCTTCCAGCTAACATCTGCACCAGCTGTTGACTAATCACTGATGATAGAAGCATGCTCCTGTTAGCTGCAGCAGTGTTCAAACTACCTCTGTCTCTGTGTCATGAAGCTGAACGTTTCCTTAAACTTTAACGTTTGAGGTCAAGCAAACACAAGAGAAGGAAAACACGTTACCTCAGTTTAACAGATTCCGATTATGCTGTTTATACTTGTGATGCTCTGAAAGTTAATATCGTACATTTCTGCAATCACAGTAGGAAGTTATCGCGACACCACCGAGCCTACATTTCAAAACCAAGACATTTTAATCGAGCCAGAAACATTCAAACATGTGCAATTTTAGCCTGTGATTTGCTCAGAAAACGCTGTCGGTTATTTATATACACAAATATGAAACAATTAAAAAATAGTTATTTTAGGATTATTGTGGAAGATAATTCTATAGATATATACACACGCAATTTAATTCACTTTTATGTTTTTAATAAATAAGATGTTGCAAAGTAAATTTTGTCTTGATTTTATTACTTTATCTATTAATTATGTTCTTAATAAATATGAATTACCTGTTCTTTATTAATATGCCACATTTGAACCAAAATTTTTAAATTATTAGTTTGTTAGATTCCCCTCAGTATTTGCTATGCTATGTCAGACTTGGTTGAAAATATTTTTTTTAATTGTGACTTCAAAATATAAAGAAGACTAAAATTTGGATTTAAAATGATTTCAAACACTCTCATTACTTATTATAAGTAATTTACTCAAGTACTAGTATGATTTTGAGGTACTTTGCTTGAATATCTCCATTTTCTGCTATAATTTTACTTCACTTCATATTGTACCTTTTTACTCCAGATTTTTTATGCCTTTAGTTAGTGGTTATTTTGCACATTTTTAAATTCTTTAATAGAAAACATATGGTCATCATATTACCTATAATGCAGATATATAGATTTAACTACCCAACAGTGTATAAAGCAGTTAACGGCCCTACAGGGTCAATGAGTGTGGGTGAGGTTGGACAGTTATCATTTCTTTTGGTTCATGAAGTTTGGTGACCTCACGTAAATATAACTAGTTCACTTTACACCTGAGCAGAGGACTGATTAGCCTGAATGAATAAAAAGACATATGTGGTTATGCAGGGCCTCTGAAATTAGCTCCACCTCAATAGCCAATGCATGTCCATCTAATCATACAATATATATGATTATATAACACTTTCAATGGGGCCATTCTGCAGCATGAGTACTTTATACTTAGACTACGTTTTAAATGTTTTTATTTCTACTGACTTACATCAAATGTGGTTTATTGCTTTTTCCAAACATGCAATATTCATTGTAGGATTGTATTTCACATGCAAAACAGCATTCATGGTATCTAACATTTAATGCTGAAACACCAGCAAGTAGTGTTCACAGAATGCCTTTAGATAAAGGAAGAAATAAAAAGGACTTGTGCCAAATCATACATAACAAACAACTAAAGTAACTGCTTTCAAGCAAATACAAAAATAAAATAGAAGGAGGAAACATTCCAGGTCAGAATAAAATATATGTCTTTACAGACAAAGATATTACTTTATCAATTTACAGAAATTTTTACAAATATTCCAACATTTGTTAGTCAAGTGGCTCCCTGTTTTGTTTAAGTTTTCAAATTTAAACAACGAATGAAACAGTTGGAGTTTGTACATCTATATATTACATCATAATACTAAATACACTCTAAAACTTCCATTTACAGATTAACAAAATTATTTCTCATTTAAAGCATTCAATTAATGGCCATATATTCCTTCCAACGTCAGCCAATTAAACTACATACGATTAAAAACAATGACAGATAAGTTTGTAGCCATATTAGCGTTGAACATAGTGATAAGAACTGTGTGCCTTGACTGAGAATAAATGCAGCAGGTCTATTTCAAATGGCTTTGAGGATTAGTAGCAGATATTTTCTTTAGTATATTGTTGTCATCTTGCAGTGTTGAGAGCAGTTCTTCAGAAACAGTCTGCACAAGCACATGGGGCGTCACTCCTTGGGCACCCGGAAGCCATCTTTTTCTTTCCGGAGACTTCTCATGGTTTCAATGGGGTCTGTCTGCTTTACGTGATCTTGGACGGACTTCTCTCTAAATTAAACATCGTAAAATAAGAATCAGTCAGGTAGCACTTAAAGAGCTCTAAACAAACTACAGTCTTCTGAAATATTTAGTATTCATCATAGTATATCATTTATATACATACATATAGTCATACATACTTAACTCTCATAAAGGGGTTAAATGTGAATTCGTCAGCCAAAGTAGATGGAATAGTAGGTTCTCCATTACTGCATTTCTCCTACAGAAATACAAATACACGTATGCCAAGTTGTTTTTGATTTGAACGGTTTCAGTGGTTGATCATCTGACTGAAGCAATGATTGTTTAGATATGACACGTTAAATCAAATACCTTTGCCCATGCTAGCTTCTTCTGAATGACCTCATTGTCTGGTTCCACATGACGTGCAAATTTCAGATTACTGACAGTGTACTCATGACCGCAGTAGACACGCTTAAACACAAAGAAAACAACACTGTTAGTCAGTCTGTCAAACAGCTTAAGTATACTTTATCAGAATATTGCATTTTCCAAACCCAAATTCAATCAATCACTTTAAGAATGACTCATGTCTTGGGTGTTACATTTAGACTTGAAATAAAAACCTTTTACATTGACATTTACAATGGAGTACATATATTTACCGTTTCAGGAGGCAGGCGTCCCAGAATTTCTATCAAGGCTTTGTACATCTGCTCTGCTGTACCCTCGAAGAATTTACCACAACCAGCCACAAACAGCGTGTCCCCTGAATGAAAGAAATAACAAAAAACCCCCAAAAATAAATAAGGTCACACATGACAGAGGGCTGACTTGTTACAGAGGCTGCATCAATTCTGATCGGTCAAGCTTGACCGATTCAAGGGTTTTGTCAGAGAGCACATTGTCTCAAATATCAGCTGGTATTTACAGGCAGTTCATCAGATCTAAAAGCTTAATGTGATTAGACTAACCTGTGAAAACAGCTGGTGGCTCAGTGCTGTTTTCTTTTGTCACATAGTAGCAGATGTGACCAGTTGTATGACATGGTGTAAACAGGCATTTGACACTGAGGGATCCAAGCTGGGAGATAATGACAGCAGTGAGGAAAACATCAGGCATTTGGGGCAGATATTTGAATTGTAGGATACATGACTTGATGGTTTTACTTTGAAATTGTGGGAATGAGAAACTTTCTTTGTGACAGCATCGACTCTGTCATCCCCTCCATAGACCTTTAGCCCTGGCATTAGCTTCACCATCTTCTCATTTCCACTAGCATGATCCCTAAGAGGAGAAAATGATCAGTGTATTGTTACAACCCTTTGGTTCAGCAGAGGGGTAGATTCATGCATAATGGTTTCTTAACATATTTTTTGCTGGTTATCTCACATGTTTGTAGAAAGCTATCATGAATATAGAAGTCAGTTTAAACCTGTGTATTGGTAAAATAAAACATATCTTAACATGTGGCCTACCAGTGGTGATGAGTGGTCAGAATTGTTGTGAGTTTTACACCATGTTTCCTTACAGCCTCCACAACCTGTTGAAAGAACAAATCCACCTATTTGAAGTAGTGCTGAAATGTTTAGTTCATTAATCGATCTAAAGAAAATTATTCAGTTATTCAATTTCCTCTGTTTTGTATTATTACATCATCATCATCATTTTTGTTTTGAACTGAGGATGCCACTTTGGGCTCAGGAAACTTGTCAAGGACATTTTTTCATTATTTTTTTGACATTTTACAGACTAAATTTATCCAAAAAATAACATGCAGTATACTGAAAATAATCATAAGGTACAGCCCTAAATGGAAGCAGTGTTTCTTTATGTGTATGTATATATATTTATATATATTTATTTGTGTGTATGTATATAATATATTATAAAGTTTTAGGACAATGTGGCAAATGTGACATGTTATAGAGCAGAATTATTAAGTAGCATAAAATGGAAAATTACTCAAGTACAAAGACTTCAAAGCTGTGCCTTACAGTGCTGTGCAGTACTTCAGTAAACATAACATAACATATCGACGGACCTTTATTGGCTCCACCGGGTCAACAATCGCTGCTTCTCTGGAGTCCACATCTATCAGCAGGTACATGTAGTTGTCACTGAGTGCTGGGACAAGTTCAACCCTCATGTTTGTTTGTTCCACCAAAGACGACTTCCTCACTGCGCTGTGAAGGAGAGCAGCTGCTTGGGCCTTGACTTCCACAGGTGCTACATGAGATGATACAGTAGACGTGTGACACAGATACCAGTGTCAGGCTAACACGGAGACACTCGGGGTCTTATTTAACTCTGTGTACACTTACAGAAACAGTGTGTTTTTAGGACAAGTCGCTTTCCATACAAATTGTGTATTTCCCCCTATCACAACACTGGTTGGATAAACAATGACAAACAACGTTAGCTTAAATGCTAGCTGTAAAAACGCGTTAGCATTACATTCTGCCACCTAGCAGTCAAAGCACTGATGTGAAATGACTGTATCAGAGGATATTATGTAAGAGACAGAAGAGTTTTGCTCAGGCAGACCAGCTGCGATCACCTCACAGCTCTCTTCTTCGTACACAACAAACAGATAAACATGTTAGCAACCCGTAACTGCTAAACATTCATGTAAACAGGCTAACATGCTGGATGTCTGCATGCTAAGGAGAAAAACCGTGCGGACGTACCAAATTTGAATGCTGTTGCAGCTCCTATTAGAGTGCAGGCACTCCCTGCTAGAGACCTGAATAACATAACAACAGTATGTACAGCCTTATCACATTCGTATGAACCAGAAAAGTTTGGTTCTGGTTCAGTTCCGCCTCCGCCCCCTCTTTAACTCCAACCTCCCAGGCTTCACCAATCAAATCTGGGGGAGTAGATCGCGAATAATCACTTAAACGCGTGACAAAAATGCATTTTTTACACAATTTTAACGACTAGTCTGTGAGTGTTTATTTTACCCTTTGTCCCCAATAAACTTCGCAATAACATCGATATTATACATGGGATTAAATGTTTGAGTTTTTTTGTTTGTCCCTTTGGGTTTGCCGTAGGTTAATAACCTGGGTGTAGGATCTTGAGTGTCGGTCAAAGTGTAGTTGAACCAGTACTGACTGCTTCCGAGCGGCTGAGACTTTAACATTTCTCCGCAATGACAGCACGAAATATATCTCGGTTTTGGGAATGGGGGAGAAAGATTATTTGTGTTGGGAGAAATTATGCGGACCACGCCAAAGAGCTGAAAAATGCGATTCCCACAGAGCCCGTCCTGTTCCTGAAGACCCCTTCTGCATATGTAAGAGAGGGCTCCCCGATTCTGGTGCCCCTGTACACCAGCAACCTGCACCATGAAGTGGAGTTAGGAGTGGTGATCGGGAAGGGGGGCACGGCCATCCCTCAGTCCGCCGCTATGGAGCATGTTGCAGGGTACGCCCTGTGCTTGGACATGACAGCCCGGGACATCCAGGACGAGTGCAAGTCCAAAGGTCTGCCCTGGACCCTGGCCAAAGCTTTCAATACCTCCTGCCCCGTCAGTGAGTTCATCCCCAAAGAGCGCATCCCTGACCCGGGCAACGTCAAACTGTGGCTGAAGGTGAACGACCAGCTGCGGCAGAGCGGCTGTACCTCTCAAATGATTTTCTCCATCCCCTATCTCATCAGCTACATCAGCGACTTCATCACCCTGGAGGAGGGGGATCTCATCCTGACCGGGACCCCTAAAGGAGTCTCCGCCGTGCAGGAGCATGATGAGCTGCAGGCTGGGATCGAGGACGTAGTTACTATGAGCTTCAGAGTTGACAGACGAGACCAGTAGTGAAAAGATGAGACATAAGAAATTCTCAGATTCATGAGAAGAGAGTGATTTTACTGGAAACTTGAATTTTAATTCTTTTAAATAATTTTCAGTCCTTGTGTTGATCAGCAGATGGCAGTGCAGCGCCAGAAAGACCATATTCCTGAGGAGTTTAATGCTGCCTTGTCAAGTGTTTGAGTTCATAAAAAACAGTTTTGGTTACATTGATTGATCTCAGCGTCATCATCATCATCATCATCATCATCTTTACTGTATCTCAGCCCAACGATATGAAAATGATTTATCACACGATGATGCTGTCTTTGTTTTTGATAACAAATGGTGGAAGAACTATTCAGAACTTTTACTCAAATACAAGATGCAATAATATGTTGTAAAATATTTTCACATAAATAAACTGCATTCAAAATTTAAGTAAAAGTATGATTGTATCATCTAGAAAAAGGTCAATGTTATTATTGGAGAATGGCCTCTGTCAGTGTTATATGTTATTGTATGTAACATTATTAGATCATCGTTGTTATGATAATGATTGTTAATGCATTACAGTATGAGTAGCAACTAATTTGAGCCATTTTATATGCTGTGTATACTGAATTAAATACAGTGGTGGGAGTACACAAAGTATCAGTACAACAGTATAATGCTCTGTTACAAGTTATTAAGTGTTTCATTGAATTACAAAGTACTAGGAGCTATTTAAAGTATCAAAAGTAGAGGTGGTCCTTATCCAGAATGACCCATTTCAGACTAATATATTTATAATTGCATTCTTTAATGTCGAGGCTGATAAATGATGCTCATTTTAAACTGCTGAATAGGTTAATCTATAATAATACATCCGAATTTACTTGTTGATTATATTTTTGCATTAATAATCTGAATAAGTAACTACAGTTTTAAATAAATGTAGTGTAGTAAAAAGTACAGTATTTCCCTCTGACAAAAGCAATAGATGGATACTTGAAGGTGGAGCTGACTTTAGCTGAGTAAAATTAACATTAAATGCCTCTAAGACATGATAAATGACTAAAGATTCTTTTCAATAGCAATACAGTCACACAGTGTAGCACCATGAGTCATGCCCAAAAGTGAACCGTGTTAGCCCTTCAGTACACTATGTTATCTGGTTCATCCATAACAATCTAATACGCCAAAAAAAGACTAGAAGTATATAAAAAAAGACTTGCTAGTATAATTCAATAAAACAATATGACTTGTGTTAATTCTGTTCATCCAGTGAAATTTTGACTTTCACACTATCTACCCTCACCATAACCACATTCTTCCTGGCCTGTTTAACATCTGTTCCAGGTTCAATTACAATTCCCCCACAGGCTTCTCTGTTTTCAGGATCAATCAGAGCCTCCATCAACCTGTCCCAGGCCAGTCTGCTGTAACCTGAGTCTGTGTACATCATCTTTCCACACCTGTAGGGTACGTTATCTCCAAGACTCACACTATCCAAACCCACGGCCCTCAGGGGACTCCAAGTTATATGTGTCCATCATTAGAACAGTTATGACAGATTCAATTAGATTTGGGATCTGAGAAATGTAGTCGTGGCCTGTTTTTCCCCCACCATGTTAGAGCAGGGTTAGAGCAGTGCACTGTATAGCATGTGCTCACAGGTGTCGTCTTTTATGAGATATGAATCATTCTGTTCATTGTCCCCGTGTGACTGAAGGTATTACAGCCTCACAGGTTTTTAACAATGGCTTCAAAGCTCGAGCTCAGCTCTGGTTTAGCGTTCACCACATGAAGCGCTATGTTGTCATCGAGCAGGAGCCTGAGAAGGTATATTTGACGCTTTCAAGGCAGGGAGGGATTACGTGTAGACAACAGTCTTCCCATCTAACTCGGACTCACAATGATGTCATTCATGACATGAAGGTGGTAACTGAGCAAAACAGTGGAGACTGGGGGGAATCCTCTTGTTGACAAAGTAGATTTTCTATCACATCCTAGTCGTAGATATACATTTTTAGTCATGCCAGCAGCATGGCTCTAGCGATGTTGGTCTGTCTGTCCGTCACTGAGTCTACCTCTTTAGTCCAGATGGAAAAATTTCAAAGACTATTAGATGGACTGACACAAAATATATGGTTCCCAGATGATAAATCTAAATGACATTTGAGATCCGCTCTACTGCCACCATGAGTTTGACAGTTCTGAGTAAAATGTCTCAACAACTATCAAGTTGGATTGCCATGAAATTTGGTACATGCGTTCATGTCGCCCTCAGGCTGAATTGTCGTCTCCTTGGTGATCCCCTGACTTTTAATCTAGTGTCATCATAAAGTGAAATTTTTCATTTGTCTGATACTTTGATTTGTGAAATAGCTGTAAACCTAATGACATTCCCATCAGCCTCAGCTGTACTTTGTGTTTAGTTCTCATGGAAACAAATGTTAGCATGGGAACATGGCAAACTTCATACCTGCCTCTACACTTTGTTTGCACTTCTTTGATAGGTGTCATGATGCAAGAAAATGAAAGCACATACATTTATGAAAGCAGCGGGACACCTATAGAACAAACAGGACAGTACAATGAGAAGATGGGATACATGAACAGCTGAATATGACACTCATTTTACAGCAACTGTAACATGCCACATGTAACATATTACCAGAGACATGTTATAACATCTGTTAGTAGCCATCAGTCCATCAGTAGGTTTAGTGCAGAGGAATCTATGTTGCTGGAGGTGATTGGGTCAAATCTCTCAGGTTCACAAGGAAAATAACTTGAACATGAATACAGGCTTGAACGTGTATCCATGTTTCATATGGATCATGAATAGAAGCTGAATTGTGTAGCTTTTTTTTTTCTTTTTTACAATTAAGTCCAGTTAAGTCCAGTTTATATGAAGAAATGTGTACTTTAATTTGAAATCACTTAAAAGAAACACACACACACACACAACATCTTTTTTGGTCATAAAATGCACAAATGCTGCAATGTACTATCCTTAGATGACTGAAAGGCATCTGCAAACTTGAAAAGATTTTGCACTGACCTTTTCTATAAAGCACTGTCCAGTGATTTTAATGCAATACTGGAATTTTAATGCAGGGAGGTCCAACATGTGAAATTGTTTTACAGCTTGGCAGTGTGTGTATAAGTGTGTGTGTGTGTGTGTATGTGTGTGTGTGTGTGTGTGTGTGTGTGTGTGTGTGTGTGTGTGTGTGCATGCGTGTGTGTAAAATGACCCTTTGTGATGCCTCACTTTGCGTGCTGCTCTGTATGTCACAGGGCGGTGCTGTGGTGTGGCCATTCTTAGAAAAAAAACCACCAACACACGCAACCATTGGAGCGACTGAGTCAGAGAGGATGCATATGACATACTGCATCAAAAAGACATGCACTCACATGGCCAGGAAATTGATTTTATTTCATTTTTGGAGAGGCAGAGAGGCGACTGCGTGTGTCTGATCTGGATATGCCTTGTCTTCTTTACGTGTCCCACATCATTGGCAAGTTCTGACTGGTTATTCCATATGCAAACAATTACAGTGTATTTAATTATTCAGTCTCTTCTACTGAATGAATAAGTGGGTATTTGGGGATTAATAAAGCTGCACAGCAAATCAAGAACCAATTTGTGATTTTTTTTATAGGCCAAACTATGGGGCTGTAATTTATTCTTGCAGAATAATGAATGGGTTCTTTGGCAAATGAAAAGAAACCATGCATGAAGGCCAGGTGCAAGCCTCTTTCATTCAGAGTGATTGACTGCACGTAGTGTGTTAACATTTTGTTTGAAGATGCAGGTGGAAAGCAAAGTGGTTAGTATACCATGGAACATACTGTAGACTTAACAACTTAAGTCAGCATTTGATTTAACCATGCTTCTTCCACATGTTTGAATTTCTCTAAGCCAAATAAAATTACAAAAACCGATTCAAGTTTCCAGAAGAGTTGTATTTTCATTTTAAGAATACAGTTTTATTTCTTGTGTGTGAAAGGTTTTCATCCAATTGGCAGCCGTGTCTCAGTTAGTACCTCATCAACCAAATGTAAGCCTCTCCATAAACCCTGATTGTTCAAGTTTTCCAATCAAGGCCCAATAAGCAGACTATAGCTGGTACATTGCAGACTAAAATGGCAACAGAAGTATGTGCTGAAACATGTCCAGAAAAACAATGTTATAAAATCCTATTGTAAAAGTTCTTAATCCCATATCCCTAAAAAGTTCCCCAATTTGTGTTGAGCTACCCTGACCATTTGAAAATCTCTCAAACCCAAATTACTTTCTCATCAATTAAAGCTGGAGTCACAATTTAACAAGATACTGTGAGGCCTAAACCACAGAGAAGAGAGAAAATCCCTGAGCATTTCTTCCTTGAACCAAAGGAGACTGTGGTATGGGTGGAAAACGTGTGGAGTCCCCGCTACGAACCGTCTTCATTTGTGGCTGCTCAAAGGGAAACTACTTTTACACTCTGATCCTAGTTTTTATCTGCTCTGTAGAAATGTGCGCCCTTTCCTTCAGCGCGGCCCTCACCATGGTTCATCCCAACCTCAGAGTGTTTCTAATTAGTCTGACATGTGCTCATTACTCCCAAATAAGAGTCACCACACAAAATATACATCTCTCATCACACCTTATCTCAAATGGTCACAGTGGTCTGTAACTCAGTCCATATTGGGTGATTTTCACTCATGCACACAAATCCACAATGGTAAGAATTGATGGCATGCGTTAAACTGTGGGCTCAAATCCTTGGAAGCTGCATGCCAGCCAGAGGTAAACAAATTAGGGTCCCCATGAGAACGGAAGATTTGGAGTTTTATGGACCTATAATTTATTGTCTTTCCCTTTTAGTTGTTTTGAGCAGTTGTAACCAAAATGCCCAGTATTCTTACATACTGAGAGAAAAATACATTGTTTTTCCGCATCATCTGGATTTGGCTGACAATTCCTTTTTGACTTTATACTGTTGAATCCAGGCTTTGGCACAATGTGAATAGGAACAGAAACAACAACTCTTTTTCTGACTTATGAACAGCACATGTTAAATCTGACACTGGATTGCCAGTGTAGTTTGCAATTATTGTTGGAGTTGAACAAAATCATTCAGTGATGCAGTGAGTGATTACAAGGATTCATTTGATTTGTGAAAAATCTGTTGTTATTAAAGATCTCCTCCAGACATTTTTATACATTTAAAGGAGACCTATGTAAGACTTGCAATTGCTACATAGCCAACGTTAGCATTACCATCAGATTACTTACAAGTCTAAAAGACACGTTGTGAGTTCAGCATCAAACTTTATTCCTTTACTTGTCAAGAGCCTTCTCCAGCAGTGGAAAGCAATGCCAATGTTAGTTCTCGTTTTGCTTCTATTTCTATTACTTCTTTTATTCTACTGAAGTTAGCACGCTAACCAGTTTGCCGAGGTCCGGCTGGACCATCTCGTCACTTTCCAACAATAATTCACTGTAGCCTCCAGTCTGCCCTGAAGATGTAACACTTCTCAGAGGGTATATTATAACCTCTTGTAATGTTAACGTTGGCTGTGTAGAAATTGCAAAACTTACAAATAACTCTTTTAAAGATACTCGTCTATGAATAATAGCCTAATTTGTGTTTGATATGGGTTTTTCACAAAAACGTTCAAACTTTGCCACATGTCACAGCATAAAATCACAACATACTTGTGGAGTGGAGGGGACTTCAAGATAACATGATACAATTTGTCACCACATTTTTTGTTATATTGTTAAAGTGGTCCTGATATTTTCCGTCTCGCTGAAAAACTGCAAAATGTTAGTGAAATGTGGATCTGTTACAGAGGACTTGTTGAATCAAATCATGAATTTTGTGAATGGCTGTACACCTAAAATATTGATGACAGAGTCATAAAACATGACTAAATGCTGGTTGAGCACATATGAGCTCAGCCAACCACAAATGGAGGGTGTCTGTTCATGAGCTCATATGTGCAAACAGACCAGAGGCCATATTGTCAGGCTTGTTTGCTTAGATCACAGAGCTGGATGAAGTTATAGTTTAGTAAATGTCATCTTCACATCCCAGTTTTAGGACATGTATTATCAATCATTCCTCCATTTTTCTTTCCAATTCTTTTATTTGCCTCAATTGAATTTCTCACATCAGTACCAGTGTTTGGTGACAACTGTAGATTATGCTGAATGTCCTGCTGATTTAATGAAACTGAGTGAACAGGCTAGTCCTGCAAATACTGATACTAATGTCTTTCCCAGATGGCAGAGTGGTAAATCAGTTATCTGTAATGCCTGCTGTTGGGCTGGCACAGCGAGAAGGCAGCTATCAGTATGACTGGTAATACAGCTTAATAAAAGTTGGCACAGATGAAGTGAGCCAAGCACGTTTAAATTTTACTGAGGCCCACTAAAAACTAATGCCAGACATATAAAACAGAGGGGGGATGTGACAGAAATACTGACTGGAACTAGAAGAGGCAAGATGGATGGAGAAAGCCAAAGCCCTGGGTGTGTGTGCCTGAAAACTAAAATTTTAAGACACCAGCATACTCATGCGAGCAGCGTGCTATTTTTGCACTCACAAACCACTGACATTTCCACAAACAAAGCTCAGTTTTAATTGATTTGATTGAATATTTTGGATTTAATCATTGATTGCAAGCACTGGTCAGGCATATTTCCATGCATTGTTAGAAGAACATGTGCAGTTCAGTGTATATTTCAGTTCTTAAGAGGGTTCCTTTTTTGGTTCTTCCACCAGAGCAGATGCATTTGTTTTCCTTTCATACACGATAGTGTACCATGAAAGAGAAGACCTCTGCTGCTAATTCTGAGCCCAGAGAGGAAGGAGGGGGCTTTCTGGGTGAGCTAACATCTCTCATAATTAAAGGCCACAGCGCACGCAGGCCTCTGTACAGACTGTACATGTGGCCTTGCTGTGTGGAAGTGGCGAGAGGAAAAGCAGTGTGAGGGAGACTGATGAGGGGAAGGAACGAGACTGACTGAGATTTCTCTCTAGTGACGGCAGGAGTGAAAACAAAGTTAAGCTTGTGAGGGAGCTAAAGTTAAAGAGGAACTACGCACTAGATTTTTTTGCTCTGTATACAAAATAACGTTTTATTGGCATACAATTTTGATACAGGCATTTTGTGTAAAAACGCTCTGTTTCTGCTCAAAATTAGCTTGCATGTGTCTGCTTGTAATTCCTCTGGCCCCTCCTTGACTGTGACACAATAGGCAAGAAAGCTGTTTTTTTTAACTGTAACATCACAAACTATTGTAACCTAGTTATTTAGTGATGTGCTATTTGGCCTTAGATATAGCGTGGGTAGTTAATAGACATGCTAACAGGCATTTCATACACTATCCTCCAAACTCTAAACTGCCAAGTTACTACGGCCCCATGTGCACCATTTGAACATGTGGAGCAACTAAAAGCTTTGTCTAGTCGCTAAGCTATGAGTGGACTATTGCTGGAGGGGCTTAGCGAATGGCGGCCGATCCTGCCACAGATAAAGGGATTAGAATAGGCAAATAGGTTCCAGCTACATGTATTACATTTGTTGGATTAAGATTCACGTTTGCAGGCTACAACCTTCTTCTCTGCAGTTTTCATATGAAGATCTTTAAGAGATAGCTTAACACATGAAATGAGAAAAAGGATGAAACATTACAGTATCAATGTCATGTGAGATAAAACTTTACTTTGCAACATAGAGAATCAGAGTCAGAATGAATGTTTTACACACCACTGTGCTTTGTGTACTTTACATATGGAATGAAAAATAGTTCAAAATAATCACAGATCAAAATAGTCATTTATTGTAAGCAAGTAACAGCGGATACAGTTGGTGCTGTCCAAGGCAATTGAAACAGTGATGTTGTTTTGAAGGGAAAAATATTTACAAGTACCTACAGATGGAATGTGTGCGTGATCATTATTTAATATTTACAGATGAGGTATCACTGGTGCATTAACTGCAATATACAGAGAAAATAGCTTGTAACATCAAACTAAGATATGTAGCATTCCAAAGACAATTTGGAAACAGTAAATGTAATAAAATTATAAATGCAATCACTTTTAGTAACACTGCTAATAATTAAAAAGAAATAGTGGTTTATCATGGAGTTTGACATTTTTTCCAATGTCCTGTCTATGATCATATAGTCAGTTTTAATGTATTGCCTTGTCATGTAATAAATACATTTCTTTCATTAAAAAAAAAATTGTAACTTGTGTTTCAAATCAACAGAAACTATAAATATCAGCTTATTTTATAAACAAAACATAAAGCAAGTCAAAAATGATTTGAAGGCAATGTTTTTTGCTTTCCCTTTGGTACCTAGTTTGTTTCTAACTTTCGTACAACATTAACATACAAGCAAGAAAACTGTTTAATGGTTTAATAACTAAGCCATTAACTATGCGTGTAACTTGTATATTGGCAGCAAGGTTCCCATGTCGGCTTCTACTCTACAACATACAGTGACAGTTCAAGAGTGCTGCATGTCATGTTGATTCCACTGAGGCAGAATGGTCCAAAGGGAGTCCCAGTTTGTATTCCTCTACCGTGTCCCTGAGAACGTTAGCCCTGTATAGTATTAAACAGTAAATCTCTCAAAAAAGTAAGAGACTGCCTTTTATCTGGGCTATGACAGGATCCTCCTTTGTTAGTCCCAGCCAAAGTCCTGTCCGCTCATCTGGTAAAAGCGGTGGTTGAAGGGCCTGTAGAAGTCTCTAAGTCTCTGTAGGACCTCAGAGGGAATCTGGGGGTGGGGTCTGCCTTTAGATTTTCCAAGGCAGCGGGGTCTGCTGCTCCCCTCAGGTTTCTTCAAGCAAGGAAAACCTTTGGTCTGGTTAAAGTAGAAGTGTTTGTCTGAAACAACCCTTTTCAGACCCAGGAAGTCCTGAACCCGGCCCATCTCCCCAGCTGGATCAGACACCAACCGCTCACCGCTAACAAACAGAAAATGAGACAAGGGGAAGTGCTGGAGCCAGTTCTCCAGATGTTTGGCATAGAGGCCGATGCGCACGGCACTCCACGTGGTGTCAATCAGACCTGTGGAGGAGTTTTTCAAGGCCAGGCTCTGGAAGGATGGAAGGCCTGGGTTCTTGGATAGTGTCTGGGTGTAGTCAGATACAGCCCGCGTCACAGGATCCCTAACCACCACAATGAGCTTGGTTTGGCAGTTCATAGTGCAGACACGGCCAGGAGCCTCCTTTGTAACAAAGTAGCTGGGGGTCTTCTCCATGGTGATCTGGCCGTCCAGCGTCCGAGGCATCAGGTTCCTTAATGAGAAGAAGAAACTGGTCAGACTCAGAATTTTGATTCATCTCTCAAAGCCAAAATAGCAGAAACTGTTTCATACTCCAAAACACCCAGATGATGACATTTACAGTATTAAAGCTTGTTTGCTTCCACATATTAATTCATCATTAGTAATTGAAATTATACAGTCAAATAAGCTTTGAACACAACACTGACATATTACCACGGCCATATAAAGTTCATATGGCTAACATTTAGCAAACAGCAGAGACACCAACTACAATCAATCAAATCTAAATCAATCACAGTCACATTCACCAATTCAATCACATACTGACTTCAGTGAGAATAACATCAAGCGATAATGTAAACACATTATATACACTGAACATTAAAGCACCCTAAAGTCTGTGTGATTAAAGCTTCAAGCACTGTACTGTGTTTATGCACGAGGGCCCCAGACAGCCCCTCTGAGTCTCACTGTAAGGCCTGCACAACAGGACCATCCCCTCACTATGGGCCTGATGACTCAAAACCACAAAGCCTCAAGAACCACTTAACAGCAATTTCCTACAGATTTCCTAACCCCCTTCTTCCTGCAAGCACACTACGCTCACCTCCCCTACGGATTCCTGCAAGGACCCAAACAGACCAAACAGACTAAAGCTGGCAGGAAGTGCGACCAGGATGGCAAGATGCTGAGCTCAGCTAGTGTGTTAAACATATGGCTGCAATGAGGAGAGATGCTGTGTAGAATACAGTCAAAAGGCATATGTTGAATTATGTGTTACAATATTGAGGTAAATTGTGCAAAATAATCTAATGTATATCAATCTCCAATCAACTGATTTATATTTTATATTGTACATTTACATTTATCTTTGTTTCAAAGTTTCTTCTAAACTGTGCACCTGCTGTAATCTTTGTGAAAGTTTTTTCATGTTGATTTCTTTCAGCAACATCTGCTTACAGGTCAATTAGCTGTCCTGCATGTCACACAGACAAAACAGGTATTTGCATCCGCATCTACATTTGACAATGATAGACTGCATGAGGCAGACGTGTGGTGTATTTAAGAAACAATTTGTTTTGCATGACAAACGAATGAGCAATGTTCAAAACAGCAGATGAATTGTCTGTAGTTCATTTACTCAACACATCTTATACTGTGTTACTGGAAACAGAGAGCTTTCATGTGGCTTCCTATAAAATAAACAAGTAATGGAGCCTGTGCTTTATTTGTTTCAGATTGGAAGTCTGCAAAAAGTCCAAATTTCAATGACAAGAGGCCATTCTCAAACGTAAATGAGTGACGGACGTCCAAGAGAATTTTCTTTTTTTACAGTGATTCAATGATTATCAAAAAGCAGTATTCATAAAGTAATGGTTCATTGTGGTCATTGTTTGCACAAGTTGGTACAAAAATAACAGCTGGCAGCGGAAACTTATTTCAATCAATGAAACCAATGTTAAAAAAATATAAATACACCCTGTTTTGCCTTGCAGGAAGATTGGCGAACATCTTGAGTACAGCTTCCCAGCATCACTTAGTTTTTTCATTTCAGCTGAAAAAAAGGCTTATGAAATGGTTTTTCAAACAGCTTTAAAGTACACAAGGCAATAATTGAGTGTGGTTGAAAGCAACAGTAGTCAAAGAACAGTTTCACTGCCTAAACTCTTGCTCTGTGATCATATGCAGAGCAGTATCTTTAAAAAAAAAAAAAAATGAATCAGTCATTAGAAACTCTTGTTGTGCGGCCAAACACTGTCAAAAACCACAGGACTTTATTTTAAACTCTAGTGGAGATCTTAAAGGAGCAGTTTGGCATTCTGGGAAAGAGACTTATTCACTTTCTTGCCACGAGTTAGATGAGAAGATTGATACCACTCTCGTCTCTAGCCATGTAAATATGAATCTACCACCAGTAGCCAGTTGGCCAAGCTTAGGAAGGGGAAACAGCTAGCCTAGCTCTGTCCAAAGGTAACGAAATCCACCTCCACCAGCTCTAAAGCTCACTAATTAACATGTTGGATCTATTTTGTTTAGTCTGTATAAAGCACATTGTAGTTTTAGGGAGGGCTATGTGAGCTTTAAAGGTGCTAGCAAGTAGATTTTAATGCCAAGCTAGCTGTTACCCTCTGTTTTCAGACTGTGTGCTAAGCTAACCAGCTGCTCACAGTAGTTTCATATTGAGCGTACACACATGAGAGCAAGTCTCAACAATTAGCAGACTATTCCTACAAAGATACCAAACATGTCAAGCTGAATATTTGTTGCAATTATAAAAAAACAATAAACAAAACATGGAGTGTGGATGTGAATAGTTTCAGAGGAGAGCTGGAAGAAGGTCACACAGACAATAGTTGTGTCCCAATTCAGGCGCTGCAGACCAATAGGGTCATAGCAACATGACTGTTCCATTTCAAAGGCTCCTTCAAATGCGGCCGAGAAATGCGGTCTTCTTTTCCTGGTCCAATTTATCCCAAGATTCATAGCGCATTGGTAATGAAAATATTATGGCAGCGCACAACGCAGACAGAGAGACTATGAAGAAGCCCTCTGTATTTCAGTAATTATGAAAAGGTATTTGTTCTCTCATTGAGAGTCCACAAGCGTAAGCACGAAGGAGGAAAAATTACTTATCTGGAGTTGTTCCTGAGTAAGTTTCGAGTTTCGCCTCTTTACTTAAAGTTAAGCCATTTCAATCCGGCCCATTAAATGATCCGTCTAATAAAAGACCATTAATTGATTATTATCCAACTACAAGAGCTGCAAAGGGCCTATCCCTGTCTGTCTGTCCCCTGTTAATCTGTGTCTGATCAATACGTCTGTCTCTGTATGACAGATTGTTCAACGTATGTGTGTGTGTGTGTGTGTGTGTGTGTGTGTGTGTGTGTGTGTGTGTGTGTGTGTGTGTGTGCTTGTGTGTGCTTGTGTACATACACATACACATGTGAGCACAGAGGTGTCAGGGTTTACTGATGGGAAACTGAATGCTCATCTCCCTCTGTGCCCTCTCCTCTCTCAACCAAAATCTTGGATTTGTCCTTCACATAAGTGTCACTTCAGTAATTGACCATAAGTTGTCTTTCCGTACTCATGAATAGTTCATGACTTGTGGCTTTTGCCCCCCACTCTCATCAGGTCCCTATCTCCCTCAACAGAATCTGTCTCATTATCAGAGAATCAATATTAGCCCTTTTCTATCATAAATCTGTTCTTGGATGTGGTGTCAGGAGAAACTGTAAACAGATCATGGATGATTAATTTCTTGTCAATTTTCTCATGGATGTAAATCTATTCTTATACTATATATGTTTTACAAACGTACCTCTTTCATTTACCTGCATTTCAGGCTACTGTTGTTGCATCTATATGTGCAAAGAGAGTAACTCGGGGCACAAAGATGTTTTCTATTTAGCGCAGTATAGGAAAGCCTTGCTGACTAGCCACATTAGTCTGGAACTCCCTGCTGTTAAAAGGATGTAGCGCTTTTCCTCCCTGAAGTGCTACAGCACTGATTACACCACTGATATGTTCTAGGCAGTCTGGATCAGAAGATTAAATACTAACGCTGGCAACAAGGATGTGGCCAAGAGACTTCCTGCCCCCGCGATTATGGGTTCTCCCGCTGAAGTGCTGCAGCTACATCCCCTGTAGCGTCTTAACAAAAGGCATTCTGCACAGACAGCAGAACTGATTGTAGACAAAAAAGATCCTTAAAATCCAATTATAATGTAATTTTCTTAAACCAAAACAGATGTAAAATTCTTTGGATTATTATAGTCATTTACTGAAACATTTGTGCTAAATGCTGACTCACTGAGGGAGACTTTTGCTCTGGCAGGTATCTCTACATCCAAAACGCTTTCTTAGCTAAGATCCAATCAAAGAGGCGGTGGAAAATCAAGGCCGTATGGATGAGAAGCAAACAACTAACTGAAGGAAAACATTTCCCAGCAGTACTGCTATGCTTAGAGTGTGACAGAGGGAGTCACTGGGTCAGGCTGACAGGATGAGTGTGGGAACCTCGATTTACGCCTCCATGCCTGGGTAAAACATATGCTGCCATTCCCCTTTGACTAGAAAACAACAAAAACACAGCAAAATAAATCCTGTGAGCTCAACAAGCAGCAAATGGAGCAGTTTAAAGGAATAGTTTCACATTTTGGGAAATTTTTTTGCTTTCTCGACAGGAGCCAGATGACAAGATTGATACTACTTTCTGTGGTGCAAGTATAAGGCTACAGTTAGTAGCCGGTTAGCTGAGCATACAGTAAAAACTGGAAACAGGGACATAAAGCTAACCTGGCTCTGTCCAAAGGCAAAAAATCCACCTATCATTACCTTGCAATGTGTCTATTACACTCACAAATTGACACATTATATCATACGTTTAATCCATACAAAGTGTGAAAGTGTCGAGTTCACATTTCTACGTGGGGTTATGTGTCAGGCTATTCTTTGGCCTAGGGCAGTAACATCTCAAATTCTCCACTGGTTTCCTGGCAACCTCACAGTGACAGCAAAACTTAATCCCCAATAACACCAAAACATGTCATTGGTTTTTGTAGAATAGTCAAACTAACTGAACTTTTCTTACATTTTGACAGATTGAGGCTTGCTGTTTCCCTATTTCCAGTCTTTATGCTAAACTAAGCTAAATGGCTGCCGCCAATAGCCTCATAATTAATGGACAGACACAGTGTGGTACAAATCTCATCTAACTCTCTATAAGAAAGTGAATGAATGTATTTGCTAAAATGTCGCACTGTTGTTTTCAGTGTAACCTGAGGGCACTACACAAAGCCTGAAAGTTCATCGTAAGTGCACATTAACATGCCACTGACACTGTAAATGTGATAGTAACCAAGACCCTGAACACACAAGAGGAGTCATCATTGTCTGCGGGAACGTTAAGGTGAATGCCGCCGCGCTGTCTATGTGTTCTTTGTCTAACCAGAAATCTGAGCAAGCAGCGAATCCTCAAAGTGTCACGGGCGTCAAAGTTGGAATGAA